TTAAAAAACATTCAGAGTCACATGCCATAAAAGGCACATATGCAATCAAGTTTGTCAAAGACAAACTGTAACAAAAAGAAAAGACTGATTGTCTTTCTTTAACTAATTATAAAATGAATCACAACAGAGGCCTAACAGAGGGAGCAGCAAGCTCAGTTACACGCATTTCGGGGGTGGGGAAACTCTCAATAATCATCCTTGACTGAATAGCTAGATTGCACTTTGTGATTACTCTGCAATCAATCACACTGTACATGGTAAATTAACTTCATCTTGTTAGTGAAATTGAGTTTTCCACTTATTTAAATCACTTGTAAAACCATCTATTCACTAATTGAACCAATGTCTATTGAGCACCCACCACATATGAAGTACTAGGGAGGTGAAGGTATCAAAATAAAAACAGCTCAGTCAACTGGGTAAGATAGACATGACTGCAAACAATTGTAACATAATATGATAGAACCCTAATAAAGATGTACAAAGTAACCATGGGAACAGAAGAGAGGAAATTAACTGCCTGGGAGAATTCTGAAAGCTTCCACAGTAAAGGTACTGACTGAAAGGATGAGTGTGAATTTGCTATACTATGCTATGCTGTGGGGGGCAATGAAGAGGCAGGGTGTCTCTACGTGGGGCATGCAGACTGTACTAGGCAACACTTTTAAAGGTTGTCAAGTCCACAATGCCTCTGTCCAGTGACTCTGGAGGGTAGAACTAAACTCTACACAATCTTACATGAAGGGAATAACACCAAAAGAAATCTATAGATTTTTGTATGGCAGAAATTTATTCTTTTCTAAAAATATTCCTGCAGTTTTATTTTTTTATTTGATAATTTCCACCATTTTTTAGTTGTTGTTTTTATTGGTTGGTTTACAAAGTTTGGATACATTGTGCTTCATAATATTATTTTTTTTCCCCCTACAAGGCAGTAGTAACCAAAACAGCATGGTACTGGTACAATGGCAGGCACATAGACCAATGTAACAGAATTGAGAACCCAGAAATGGACCCAGCTATCTATAGTGAACCGATATTCAACAAGGAAATAAAACCTTTTAAATAAAGAAATGACAACCTCTTCAACAAATGGTGCTGGCAAAACTGGACTACTATCTACAGAAAACTGAAAACAGGATCCACATCTCACACCATGCACAAAAATCAACTTTAAAAAAAAATCAACTCAAGGTGGATCAGAGACCTGGGAGGAAAGCCCAAAACCAGGAAGTTCATCAGAGACAAACTAGAATCAAGCTTAGCCAACCTAGTCTATGGTATAAAGAGACTGTCAAACACAGCCAGAAATGCACAACCTGGAGAGGAAAAAATTGATGAATGGGACCTTCTAAAGATTAAATCCCTGTGCACAATGAAAACATTTTCTAACAGGGTAAAAAAACCCCTACTGATTGGGGAAAAAACATTTGGTGACAGTGAGGAGGACCTGAGGCACTTGCTGCAGAGGGTCAAGGACTGCAGCCTTCAATATAGATTGAGGCTCAATGTCAAGAAGACAAAGATTCTCACCACTGGGCCAATTGGCAGCATCAGGATAGATGGTGAAGAGATTGAGATTGTTAAGAGCTTTAGTTTGCTTAGCTGCACAGTCAACACTCTTAGCACCAGCAGCCAGGAATTTAATAGCTGTATTGCATTGGGAAAGTCTGCTGTCAGAGACCTCTCCAAAGTGCTGAAGAGCAACAATGTCAGTCTGGAGACTAAGGTGCACTGAATACAGGTCATGGTGTTTACAATCACTTGCTATACATCAGAGAGCTTGACAATGACTAGGGATGATGGAAAATCCATGCCTTTGAGTTGTGGTGTTGGAGAAGAGTATTGAATATACCATGGGATGCTAAGAGAATAAACAGGTTAATCACTGTTATTGTTGTTGTTGTTGTTATGTGCCATCGAGTCACTTGCGACTCATAGCGACCCTATGTACAACAGCTCTAAACTCTGCTCTGTCCTGTGCCAATCTCACTGTCTCTGACACACTCATCCCGATTGCCCCAGTCATTGAATCAATCCATCTCCCAGAGGGCCTTCCCCTGCTGCGCCTGCCCTCCACCCACCCCAAGCACGATGTCCCTCTCCAAGGACCGGTCCCTCCTTACAACATGTCCAAAGTATGTCAGACGAAGCCTCAGAATCCTTGCCTCCAAGGAGCAGCCCAGCTAACCATCTTCAGGATGAATCTGTTTGTTTTCTTAGCAGTCCATGGCACTCTCAGCACTCTTCTCCAACACCAAAGCTCAAAAGCATCAATTCTCCTCCAGGCTGCTCCTTGGAGGCAAGGATTCTAAAGCTTCATCTGACATACATTGGTCATGTTGCAAGGAGGGACCAGTCCTTGTAGAAGGACATCAAGCTTAGGAGGGTGAACAGACAGTGCAGGAGAGGAAGACCCTCAATGAGATGGATTGATTCGGTGATTGGGATAACAGGGGTAGAAGTGTGGCATATTGGCACAAGATATGGCAGGGTTTAGAGCTGCTGTATATAAGATCGCTATGAGTTGCAGGCAACCTGCTGTCACCTAATAACAACTATACCATTTCAGACAAGGGTCTCATATCTCATCCTTTCGTATCCTGTGCCCTCCTCACAATCTCTGACACAATCGAGCGCATCGCTGTAGTCACTGTGTCAATCCATCTGGTTGTGCCCTCTCCTTCGCCATCCCTCCACCTCGCCAAGTATGGCATCCCTCTCAAAGGAAGAGCCTCTCCTAGCAACATGCTCAAAGTATGTGAAACAAAGCTTTGTCATCTTTGCCTCCGAGCAGGACTCTGGCTTTACCTTCTCCAAAATATATCTGGGTTTTTTCTTTTGGCAGTCTGTAAGATATTCAGTATTCTTCTTCAACACCATAGTTTAAAGGCATCAATTCTTCTCCCATTATTCTTATTCACTGTCCTGCTCTCAGATGTATTTCCAGTGACTGAAAAGACCCTGGCCTGCAACGGGCACACTTTAGTCCTCAAACTGACATGAGTACTCCACAATAATTTGGAGAGGCCCCTTACTGCAGACTTGCTATACATCTCCTGATCTCCTGACTGCTAGTACCAAGTATACTTAAGATGACATGTAACTTCATCTGTGTGAGATGACATAGTTGACAGTTTCAATCTTTTCTCTATCTATCATGATACTGCTCACTGGTCCAGTGGCGAGGATTTTTGCCACTATCCATGAATAAATGATTAGATTTTCATTCCAGTGGTGATGAAGAGAGAGAGTGTGGAGTCTGAAGATTATTTAACATGCACGCAAAATCAAAAGAGCCTCACAGCCATGTGAGGATGTGAAGAATGGGGAAGAAAGTGGGAGCCAGATAACTCTGGCTTGTGTGGATAGAGAGCACGGGGATCACGTGCCAAAACAGGGAATTTGGATAAAGAGATCTACGGTGATACAGACCAAAAGAGTGAAAATTCAGGGGAACCCAGGCAACAGATTAAAAGGGCTCATGGTCCAGGGGAAAGAGGAAGAAGAGATGAAGTCAAAGGATAGAATAAATCTTAGAAGAAAGTTCTATGCAAAATGTGTTGTGGAGAGAGGGAGAGCCAGAATTAGAAAAAAATTGAGAAAGAAAGAAAAAATAGAGTAGCTTTATTCAGTGAAGGGTGAGCCGTATTTGAACAATTAAAAAACATAATAAATAATAATAACATAGATTATACTTGGAATAAGGATCTAATTGCTGACATGGGTGAGAACAAACTCAGTTTCACTGTGAAAGTGGAAGTCAACCCATAGTGTGCTAAAGAATGGATGGGAAGTCAGTGAACAGACTCAGGAAGTGTGAATAACTCATTCAAGAATCCTAACCAACACAAATTAAAGATAAGGAAGTAGAGCGGGTATGGGGTCAAAGGAGGGTCAAGATGATTTTATTTGTATCTATTAATGTTAACCATATGCTCCCCAGTGTCTCAGAGCTAAGGCAGCAACCCAGATATCCACCAAATGGAGAACGGCAATAAGGAAGTCAATGGTGGCCTACTGACACACTAGCAATACCTAGCAATAAGATACAATTTACAGATCATAGACAACATGGACTGATCTTGACACATGTGCCTAGTGTAGACAACATGGACGGATCTTGGCACATGTGCCAAGTGAAACCAGTCAGACACAAAATATTACATACCAAAAACTTGCATCTGTAACACGTTAAGAAACTAAACTAAACCATGATGTTAGATATCAGAACAGCAACAACTTTCAGGGAGGGAGGTTAGGAAATATGGGCACAAAATGTTCTATGTCTTGATCTGCGTGACAGAGGAAAGATGTATACAAATATAATAAGGTGATAAATTCTAAGATCAGTAAACTTATATACTATACCTTAACAAGAAAAATAAAAAAACAAAACTAAAACTTTAAAAATGAAAATACCACCAAAAAGAGCGAAAGAACTGTAAAATACTATTACACCAAAGTGAACCCAGCCTGAAGCATCTGACAATAATCTGCATCCATCAGTCACGGAATAAAGTTCTCTTATAGGGTGCTGCTGTCAGTGCATTCAGCTCATTGATAATCTAAAAGTCCTGTTCCCAAGGCCATATGCTTTTGTGCATTATCTATCCTTCTCACTAGGTTAGGTCTGCAGCTTGCCTAAAAATAGTCTTCCAGGACTGAGTCAGCCTAATACTTCTCATATGTCAAAACTCACAAAACCAAAGGGATTCTGACAGACTACACAATTACTGTCTTCCTTTGATACTGTACAACAGTAGTTTAGAAGACAGATTTTCTGATGAATACCCTGTATCCATCAAAAGTACAAAAGTTTAATATATCTGCTTTTGATATTTTATTAGCATATCCGATGACAGAGCAGCTGGCATTTGAATCAAGAGTTCTGGGTGGTTTTTTAATAAAAAACTGTATCTAACATTAATAAACTTAGCTCTATCACAAGTATTGAAGAACCTCTACTCTCATTATAATACAGAAAATTAAATACTTACCATTTTGTCTGGTGCCAACAGCAGCAATGATTACCGGAACCGAATTTAATGCTCTTTTTATCACTGGGATATAGTTATCCTTTACTTCATGGAATGAAAACTTGTCATTTACATTGTATTTTATCACAATGATGTCAGCGCCCCCAATTAGATTTCGAGATGTATACCAATCACTGTCAAAAATGTCCTAAATCAAAATGCAGAATGCAATGTTTAGTTTATATACAGTTAACTGAATAATAAACGCTAACATATTATTTAAACAAATGTAACAGTATGACATTAGATAAAATGCATTGGTATGAATAGACATGCTTCAATAAATTTCCCATAACTCATTTTGACTGCAATATTTTTCAGTGCTTTGATGTTGTAAATCAACAGTGAATTTTGCATTGTTCCATATATTTCATCCTTATTTCTAAAACTCACATATACTTTTCAACTTTATTCATTCTTCGGGCAATAAGTGGTGAACTCTGTCTCCAAAAGAAATTGTGTACTTGTTATTAAAAATTACCCTATTAAGGGACATATTTGTAATTTAATGTATTTAACTTATAGATTTTAGAAGTTCAGGATAGACCATGCTAGTTTTGAAAATTTTACTTCTGGACAATATTTAACATTTTTTGTATTTATATTCAGACTGAAAGTAATGCTACTAACCCAAAGGCATGTAGTTCAAATCCACCAGCTGCTCCATAGGAAAAAGATGGGCATTCTCCTCCCATGTGATTTACTGCCTCTGAAATCCCACTGGAAGGTCAGCTATGAGTTTGCTTGCAACTCGGCAGGGCACGGTAGTAAGACTGATAAGGAGCTTCACTGCCAGCCTAAAGGTAAGTGGTTCAAATGCACCAGCTGCTCAGTAGGATAGGCAATCAGCCTCTAAAAACTCACTTGGCAGGTCAGCTAAGAGCCAGTTCTCACTTGATTATACAACAATTACCTTGTAAATGCTTTGACATTTTAGACACACATTTTAAAATATTTTTTCCATTTTTGTATAAACAGTAGTATAAGAAAATATGTACTTTACTACCACTGCCATACTAGTTTTTATTCCAATATTTGCATTAACTTTGAATTGTTAATTTTTCCTTTCATGAAGCCCTGGGTACTATTTTTAGGAGTAATAAAACTAGACTTGGAAAAGGACCTCTAAAGGTATAGTCAGTAGCTGTGCTGCTAACCAAAACTAGATGGATAGTTGGTTGCTTGGCTGGTTGGAAGTAAGTAAGGAAGGGAGGGAGGGAGGGAGGGAGGGACAAATGGATGGACAAGGTTAAAAGTTTCAAAAATGTCTATGAAAGTTTACATTTTGAACCCTGAGTTCAAAACTGGTGTCTAAATCAATCAGTGGAGAGCTGTGTGGCAAGACTTTTGTTCTATGTTGGGAAATCCTGGAGGAGAGCTACAAAAAAGTACCTTTTTTTCCTAGGTGAGCTGCTTCTCTCTTCAGTGCCTTTCCAGTCCCCTGAACGCAATCTCCCCCAAAACTCTACTGCCTTCAAGTCAATTCCAACTGATAGAAACCCTAAAGGACGGAGTGCAACTTCCTTGTAGGGTTTCCAAGGTTTATAATCTTTATGAAAGCAGATGTGTTTCCTGATCCTATAGGAATTGCCAACCCTTTGATTAGCAGCCACTGTTTTTAACTACTATGCCAGGTATCCTCACCTCTTGCACAGATGCACAGTGTGTGTCTGTGTCTGTGTGTGTGTGTGTGTGTAGTATTTAAAGATCTAATTTGTATTACAAATACAGTCTTTACATTCTCACCACCATCACAGTATTAGTCATGCTAGTGCACAGTGTCTCCTAACAGAGGAAGAATTGATGCCTTTGAGTTGTGGTGTTGGAGAAAAGTGCCGAATATCTCATGGACTGCCAAAAGAACAGAAAGATATGCCTCAGTAAAAGTGCAGCCAGAGGGCTCCTTGGAGGTAAGAACTGTGAAGCTTCGTCTCACTAACTTTGGGCACGTTGCTAGGAGAAGCTATTCTTTGGAAAGGGACATCATGTTCGGAAAGGTGGAGGATCAGCGACAGACAAGGAGACCCTTGACACAATGACAACAGCAAAGGGATCAAGTGTGTCAGAGATGATGAGAATGGCATAAGACAGGACTCAGACTTCAGAATCTCTATGAGTCAGACTTGGCTCAACAACAACGAACAACAACATCAAGTTTACATCCTCAATACCACAGTATTTCTCTCCTAACGCTTTATATACTCCTCAACCTGACCTGTTCCTCCAAATATACTCAAAGGAAAAAACTGGAATGGATAAAGCACTTCTGGAAAGAGTTTCAAAGAATTACCACTACCAAAACACAAACAAAAGTAAACTCTGGCAAATTATGAAGTGAAAACACTAAAGCTGTGCACTTGGAAAGGGATGAAAAAACTGAGTGGAAGTGGAGAGTGACACAGGACAAGCAAATAGGAAAACAGAGCTCCACTCTTCAATTCCAAATCTCAAAGCACTAAATGCCTCCGTTCTGTTACATTACTGAAGTTCAAATAGACAAATATAACTAGGTATGAAAGTTTAACAGAGTACAAAGGCTAACGAATGGCATAAAATTTAACCTATATGTAGATGCTGCTGTTGTTACGTACCACGGAGTCAGAACAGGCTCACAGCTGACCCTCCAGTGGGGTTTTCAGAGGCAGTAAATTACAACCTTCTCCATGGGAGGAGACTGTCCATCTTTCTCCCACAGAGCAGATGGTGGATTTGAGCCATGTGTGCTTGGGTTGACAGTGTAATTAACTCCTTACCACTAAGGCACTAGAGCCAATATTAAACATCATTATTATTACTATTATTATTATTTAAATATTTCACTCTGAGAGAATAGATAAACTTCTGATCATATGACAAACTGTTCAAAATTCCAGTTACTAGAAAAGTACTGGGCTTGGGGGGAGATGAAGAAGACACTAAAAGGAAAATGTCCTGAGAAAATGAGTACTGGCATCATGAATACTGTGGATTTAAAGACCAAAACCACATTTGAAATAGAACTCAGAGCTTCAAATAATAATGCGCGCGCACACACACGCACACACACATTGTAAATGTATTACCTCATTGCTTTTTATGGAACGTTTCTGGTAAACAGGAAAAGATATAGGAATGTGACATGAAATAATGTAACTACACGACAGAAGGGAGTAGGTGGAGCAGATGTGGACTAAATAATAAGCATGAATTTGAAACATATTTATTTTACAAGTACCAAGTATATAGGGCAAGGATCCAGAGCGAAACCTGGGATCTACAAACAAGAACTCAGGAAGAGAAGAACAAATATCTCACTCCAGCTCCAAAATAACCATGCATTTTGCCTCAAACTATGTCAAAGAGAAAGTGTCCATTAGTTTCTAGCATTATGAAGGAAATCAGATTCTTCCACTCTTTGTAAATCAGCTCCAGGATTTCCTCCAGAGGGTTATGCAATACAAGACTTGGAACCACTTTCGGAGAAATAAACTGATCTTTGAGGAAAAAAAATCTTTCCTAAATCATCTTAAATACAATTTTTTTTAAAAATTCTGAATTTGTACAGTGAAACAACTTTATTTTATTTAAGACTGTAAAGTCAGTACTTACCAAGTACCAACATCACTACCCTGTTTTTGCTTCTTTGGTGCCATAAAGTCACTTGCGACTCACAGTAACATTATGTACAAGAGCAATAAACCCTGTTCTGTCCTGTGCCAGCCTCACTGTTTCTGACACACCTACTACCATTACTCCAGTCACTGACTCAATCCATCTCATTGAGGGTCTTCCTCTCTTGCACTGTTCCTCCACTCTCCCAAACATGATGTCCCTCTCCAAGGACTGGTCCCTCCTTACAATATGCCCCAGTATGTCAGACGAAGTTTCAGAATCCTTGACTCCAAGGAGCAGCCTAGTTTCACCCTCACCACAACAGACCTGTTTGTTCTCCTAGCAGTCCATCATATATTCAACACTCTTCTCCAGCACCACAGCTCAAAAGCATCAATTCTCTTCTGTCATCTCTAGTCATTGTCCAGTCCTGAATGGTGTGCAGGGAAACATTAATCTTGCTTAGTTTCAAAAATACTTGGCTAAATGGAGTAATGAGTATTTATCAGCGTATCTCCCACTTACTGAATACCCACTGTGTGCCATCCACTACACCTAAGAATTCTGCATGTTCTATCTCATTTAATTCTTAACCAAGCTTTAAGGAAACAGAGACGACTGAGAGAAGATAAATGACTTATCAAGGGCACAGGCAGTAATGGAATTCTAAAAGCAAGGCCTTTTGATATCAAAATCTGTTCTCTATCTGCATTGTTGTAGTTCATATTCTGACACATGACAAAGAGCAACTAATAATTATAATCAATATAATACCACCAAAAGAAAATCAGCACTTCATAAAGCATATCCCTAGAAATTAATAGCACTCACTATTCATCTTTCATACTTTGGACAGGAGTTAGGAGAGGCTAAGCTGGATCTTAGGATGGCCTCTTGTGTCTTGAGGAGGAACATGTATGGAACGCTCGAGATCTTATGGCTTTTTGTCCCAAGTGGGTGTCAGCAGATGGGACCTGCTAGATGAACTGGAGGTCTCTGGCCCAGAGTCCACCAGCATTTGGGCATGGTGAATTTTTAAAATATTGTAGGACCCAATGTTAATTGATTTTGGATGAACACTCTTTCAAGTGGTACAGCAGAGGTCTGTCTATTTACTCTACTGAAATAACATAGAGTTGCTGTGATGATGGACAACTGGGCCACAGGTATGTCAAACACCGTAATTTGCTACGCATCATGGGCAGTGTTTGTTGGAGCTACCAGATTGATTCAGCTTTGGAAGCAGGACTGGCATTCACTTCTTAAACTACATGCCTCTGAAAACTTGGAGTAATGATGATAGTGATAGAAAGACTTTAGGCCTTTGTTCATCTTCTGTTTGTATATGTATCCTTCCCTCATGTGTACTCTATCTTTATGGTGGATAAATCATTAAAGAAGTTAGACTCCATGAAGAAACATGTGGCATCAGAACAGGAGATGGAAGCAGCAGATGAATGTTTCCAGACGGGTGTTTTTGGGTGGTGAGAGTCAATAAGAATACATGATTATGGAGGAATTTGGAATGACAGAACTCATGGAGTTTGAACTATGCTTTGGTTCTTAAACTGGTCTGAGGGCCCGGTTTTAATTGTTTTTGGTCAAACATTCTTCTAGGTCATATAGCCCCGGTCCCTCCATTTTCTCTAAAGAGGTAATTTGTGGTTGCTGTGATACTAAACACTGTGACACTGATGTGTCAGATGTGATAATGGTTACCCATGGTGGACAGTGTTTGGTGGATCTCCCGTGTTAAAACAAGCTTGGAAGCAGGAGTGGCATCCACTTTCCAAAACAGCCTGCCTTCAGAAACCCTACGACCCTGGAGAAAAATGGAAGTTATTAAAGTGCTTAGGTCTTTTGTTCACAGGGTCGCTATGAGTCACCTATGACTCGATGGCACTTCCCAATAACAACATTATTCGGAAAGGGAAATCATGCTTGGAAAGATGGAGGGTCAGGAGAGGAGAGGAGAGAAGAAGAGAGGATGTCCATCTATCCAACAAGATGAACTGACACTGTGACTTCAGCAATGGGCTCAGATACGTGTCAGATGATTAGGATGGCACAGTTTAGGACCAGGTTCAGGTTTGTGGTTCATAGGAGGTTTGCTATGAGTTGAGTTCAACTGGTGGCACCTAACAACAACAATATGAATAAAGACCTTTATAACCTAGAAAATACTACCTGATTATAACAAAAATGATTAGCATAATAAGTGACAACAATCACAATGCAGGCAGGAGTGACATCCACTTCCTAAATAAGGTGCCTCCAGAAACTATGAACTTTGAAAACATAGTTGTAGAGGGGCTTCAGGCCTTTTTTCATAGGGTCACTATGAGTCGTGCTCACCTCTAAGGCAATCAACACCACCACAATCACAATGTGGCTACAGTCCAGCCTAAAGAGGCTTAGTTTAATCCATCTGGAAGATTTCATTTATTACACACAATACCTAGGGTTAAAAGGATGGCTTTTTTACGAAATTAACAACATAAACAGGAAGGGGTTAACAAAGGAAAAACAGGAAAGGCTATTCCAGCAACCTAATTCAGCTTGTTTTCTTTTCCCTATATTTATTTACTCAGCTCATTCATTATGTGTTTAACTGCATGTTGAACCAATAAGTTTGTAGACTGCCAGATTCTTCACAATGAAAGGACTGAAGCAAAAGGAGTCTTTCATTGTCAGAACTTCCCTATGATCAGCATCATACTGTCAGAACTAGAGATTTAATAGCCACCCTTTATTGAAAGGTCTGGTTTTAATTTATTTTAGCCTCCTTACTTTGCTGTTGCTTGCATTGAATCAAATCTCATGATGGCCTTCCTGTGACTGTGTAGAACCGCCCACAGTGCTCCCTGGGTCGTAATATGTGCAGGAACAGATCACCACGCTTCTGCTGAGGAGTCTCAGGTGGACTCTAACTACCCAGCATCTGATTGCATGAAGGTTTAAAATAATAGAATTAAAAACAGACCCAAAATAAACTCACTGTCATGGAGTTGATTCCAACTCATGACCACCTTCCATTGGTTTCTGAGCCTAACTCTTGACAGAAGGCTGTCTTTCTCCTATAGAATGATTCGTGGATGCCAACAACCTAGCTTTTAGTTATGAGTGCAACATGAAACCAATTACGCTACCAAGGTTCCTTAGACTGTTCTCAAAGTCAAGCTGGAATTGAGTCACAGACCCTGCAGCAGGTTTTCAGAGGCAGTATACTTCTGAGGCAGGGTGGGGGTTCTGCCATCTTTCTATCTTTCTCCCCAGGGAGCAGATATGGGTTCGAAGAGTGAGCCTTTGGATTGGAAGTGCAGCTCCCCACCACTAAGTCACAAGAGTTCCCTTAAGAAAAGATTGCTGCTGTGTGCCTTCAAGTTGAAACGGACCCATAGCTGACCCTCCAGCACATTTTCTGAGGCAGTTACTCACAGGGAAGCAGACTGCCTATCCTCCCTCGGAGAAGCTGGTGGATTTGAACTGTGTGCCTCTGGGGCTGCAGCATATTTTCTTACCACTAGGCCACCAGTAAATCCTATGGAATAGTTCTGCCATGTCCAACAAGGTTGTGATGTTGCAAAACTGACTCACCACCACCCAACAAAAAAAACTAACTCTCCTTCAATTGAAAGTTTATATCAGCAAATTATTTTTATCCTTTTTTGTAACATGGAAGGTGATGTATGAGTTTTTCTCTGCACACAAAATCCAGTACTTAATCACAATACAATATAACTCCAACATCAGTAAAGAAGGAGAAATTATGAAAGGTCAAGTAAAAATATAAAAAATATGTTATTGTGCACTGAAAACACCCTGTATGTGTCAGGTAGTTGAAAAACATAAAAAATATGTTATAGTGCACTAAAAACACCTTATATATGTCAAGAAGTTGATATGACTCTCCTTTTACCAAACACACAAGAATGAAATTGGAATTACTCTAATGTTGCACTTTCTTTCAATTACCACAAGTAATATTTTTAAAATCCTAAGAGCATACATTATTTCTCATTTCTGAGTCACTAAAAACAAACTGCTAATATATCAAGTATATCTACAATATTAATTTTTTAAAAAGTAATTTCAAATTTTCAGAGGTGGATAATAACAAAAATGAGTCATGTGAAATTCATTCTCAGTCCCTGTCTTTTCCCCCTTTCCCAGGGTTCTATTTCTGGACGGCCCCAGTGAAAGTATTTTTACATTATCATCCACTGGGTAGGCGTGAAAAATATTGCTCTCTGCTGGTGAAACTTAGTGACCCCGTCCCTTAGGGTTGGCACGCTGAACTGTCAGCTGTCACCAAGGGACAAACCATGATCCTAAAGTAAGTGCTTGCATTTCCATTGGGGCTTCTGCCTTCCAGGACTGTTCTCTGATCAGGCTAGCTATGTTCAATGAAGCAAAGAAGCAAAGACTGTCCCCAAAATGTTTAAAAACTACCCAGGTGACCCAGACATTCCATATTGACGGAAGGGGGCAAAAGAGAATTCAAAGGAAAAAAGTAAAGCTCCTTCAGCCTCAGCTCCGAGCAACTGCTGCCCCTTACCCAGACGGGACAGTCGTGGACCACCAGCTTGACATTTCCAAACGCGCTGGCCTGATACTCAGTGAACACGGGGCGGGCGACCGTGCTGGTCGCGTTCAGCAACAAGCTGCTCTCGTCCCCTGAGACCAGAGGACTTCTCCCCAGGTAAGTGCGGATAAGCCCCGATGGCCGATTGTCCTGGTGAAACGCGTCCCCCTCGTTCCCTAGCGCCACGATGTGAATGGACCTACAGGGACAGAGAAGCGGGCGAGGGGAGAAAGGTCCAGTCAGCGAGTGTCCACTTTAATACGAACAGGAAGTGCAGGGGGCAGGCGCGCGGCGAGGATGGGCACGAGCCCCTCGCCCGGGGCGCACGACACGCGCGTTTTGGAGTCCAGACAATGGCAGGACGGCGACGCGTACGTACATGATCTCAAATCCAAGGGCAGGGCGGCAACTCGGAGAAAAGCGGCTCCTCACGGCCTCGCGGGGCCCGTCGGCGGCGTGTTTACCCGCAGTCCGCTCATCCCCGGCCGCGTCCCCCCTCGCGCGCCTCCACCGCGGCGCGGCCGACGCAGAGCGAGGCCGCCCAGAGCCAGCTAGGGAGGGAGCAGCCAGCGCGCCAGCGCAGGGGTCTGGGCGTGCGAGCGGCCGTGTGCGCGCTGCCAGCCAGTCAGGAAGTGCCCGGGAACATGCCGCGCGCTCGCCGGGCGCAGGGCCGGTCCGCAGCCCCTTCGCCGCCGCGCCTCCTCCGTGGGGCAGCTGTCGCCTCCTGCTGCTGCTGCTCCTCCTCCTGCGGGGTGGGAGGCGGGTGAGGGAAAGGCTGGGGCCTCCGCCCCCTCAGCAGACCGGGCGGGCAGGCGGGCGGGAGCTGCACGTGCCGGCCCCGGGAGGCGGGCGGACACGGGGGACGCGCTCCCCACCGCGGCCCCGAGCGGCGGCCGGATACAAAGGACCTGCGGACGCCGCGGGCAAGAAATTCACAAATACGACGCGCTGGCCGGAGAGCGCCAGGCCTCCAATCCGCCTGTAGCAAGTTGGTTCAACTCTGGCAGTTGTAACCAGAGCCAAGGAAATGTGGGGTAGGGCGGTGAGGCCCCTGCTCTCTAAAGACTAAAAAAAAAAAAAAAAAGAGGTAGGGGCAGCGGGCAGCTCGGTATTCTTGCTGTTTAATTCACTAGCAACCCGATTTCCCCCCCCCTTCTTTCCCTTGATTGAGAGTGTTTTATCACGTCTGCTGCTTTGTCATTTGTCAACGTGCACTACAGCTGTTTTTTAAAATCAGACTCGTGAGGAAAAAAAAATAAAGGCATCATTCATGCTGGTGCAGAAAGGATTCTTTGTTCAAACGCCAAGTAATTTGCTAATGTCCCTTTTAGGGAATTATTTACTATTTCTAGCTATATTTGGCATATTCTACCCAAATTGTAGTAATTGGAGGATTTTCCCCCCCTTGTGCTTCTTGAGGGCTTTTATTGTGGTAGCTTTTCAAACAAGTTGTGTGAGTTATTTAACATGTTTACAAGCTAAGTGCTAATATATTTGGAGATTTCTCAGCAAACGTACATATTTAATAAAACAGTTAATAAAAGCTGTTCAAACGAACTAGGGGAAAAACCCAACAACAAACAAACAGATAATGCTTCTTCCAGAATACTTTTATATTCTTTTATGATAACATTCTTAAGTAAAGGTGATCAATGCCCCTTATAAATGTCCCCAAGGAACCTCAATACAAATGGAGTATTAATACAAACTACTAATACCAAGTAACATATGAGCAAGAGCCTATGGTGATGAAGGAAGAAGTTCAAGCTACTTTGAAGGAAATAGCAAAAAATAAGGCCCCAGGAATAGATGGTATACCAATTGACGTATTTCAGATAACAGATGTTGCCCTGGATGTGCTCACCAAGTTGTGCCAAGAAATCTGGAGAACAACCACTTGGCCAACTGACTGGAAGAGATCTATATTTTATCCCATTCCAAAGAAGGGTGACCCAACTGAATGTGAAAACTACAGAACAGTGTCATTGATTTCACATGCAAGCAAGATTCTACTGAAGATTATCCAAAAACTATTAGAACAGCACATCAGCAGAGAATTGCCAGAAATCCAGGCTGGGTTTACAAGGGGTCTTGGTACTAGGGATATTGTTGCTGATGTTAGATAGATCTTGACTGAAAGCAAGGAATACCAGAAGAATGTCTATCTGTGTTTCATTGATTATGCAAAGGCATTTGACTGTGTGGATCATAACAAACTGTGGCTGACTCTGAGAAGAATGGGAATCCCAGAACATTTAATTGTGCTAATGTGAAATCTATACTTGGACCAAGAGGCAGTAGTCAGAACAGAGCAGGGTAACACTGCATGGTTCAAAATTGGAAAGGGTGTGCGCCAGGGATGCATCCTGTCTCCATACCTTTTCAACATGTATGCAGAGCAGATTATCCGGGAGGCTGGGCTCTATGAGGAGAATTGTGGCATCAGGATTGGTGGAAGATCTATTAACAATCTGCGTTATGCAGATGACACAACCCTGCTTGCTGAAACTGAGGAGGACCTCATGCACTTGCTGGTGAGGGTCAAGGACTGCAGCCTTCAGTATGGACTGAGGCTCAACATCAAGAAGACAAAGATTCTCACCACTGGACCAATTGGCAGCGTCAGGATGGATAGCGAAGAGATTGAGATTGTTCACAGCTTCAGTTTGCTCGGCTCCACAGTCAACACTCTTGGCACCAGCAGTCAGGAAATCAAAGAGTGTATCGCGATGGGAAAGTCTGCTGTTAGGGACCTCTCAAAGGTACTCAGGAGCAACAGTGTCTCTCTGGAGACTAAGGTGCGCCTGATACAGGCCATGGTATTTGCAATTACTTGTTATGCATCAGAGAGTTGGACAATGACTAGGGAGGACAGAAGGAGAGTGGATGCTTTTGAGCTGTGGTGCTGGAGAAGAGTACTGAATGTACCATGGACTGCCAGGAAAACAAACAGATTCATCTTGGAGAGGATTAAACCAAGCTACTCCTTGAAGGCAAGGATTCTGGGGCTTCGTCTGACATACTTTGGACATGTTGTCAGGAGGGAAGGGTCCTTGGAGAGGGACATCATGCTTGGGAGGGTGGAGGGACAACGCAGGAGGGGAAGCCCCTCTATGAGATGGATTGATTCGGTGACTGGGGTAATCGGGATGGGTGTGTCAGAGGCGGTGCAGTTGGCGCAGGATAGAGCAGGGTTTAGGGCTGTTGTGCATAGGGTGGCTATGAGTCGCAAACGACTCGACGGCACATAACAACAACAACAACAACTAATACCAAGAAGAGCCAGGGGTTCATGTTCTTTGTTAAGTGCCCGCGTCAAGTTCGACTCATAGTGACCTATGAACAAAGGGGGTCCTATCCTGTACCATCCTCATCATCTCTGACATACTTGAGTCCATTGCAGTATCATGTCATGCCAGTTTCTTCACAGACATTACAAATCTTAGATGTGCAATGGGTTGAAAGTTCTTATTCCTCCTTTTAAAAGACTTATCTTGTCCTACTTTTAATATCATACTCTTTCTATTCGCAAACAAATTATTTTGACATATATGAAACATTCCATATTGAGTATGGCACTGAAAAATCTAGTCAGAGAAAACTGGAATGTCTGCAAATTTTCGTCATGGGCCTCTAAGCTCAGGTGAAAGTAATAGTTTAATAGTTCCTCATACTTAGATAGCATATAATGTTATTATGTGCTGTTGATTCAGCACCAAGTCATAGCAAAAAGAAGCAATTCATGAATCTGCAGGGTTTCAGAGACTGTAAATCACCTGGGAGGAGATTGATCCTCTCTCTCCCATGGAGCGACGAGTGTACTTGAACAGTGAACCTTTTGGTTGGCATACAACTCTGCCCACTAGGCCACCAGAGCTCCCAGCATGTAATAGGGGTTCCTTTAAAAATGTAGGTCACTAATTCTTTTGAAATGTATTTTTCTTTTACAGTGGGTATATGTTCTCTTTTAGTATCTAACATCTAGCCATCGTGAGAAAATGAAGAATGCAGAATCACTCTCTTTTTTTAAAATTTTTTTATTGTTATTTTAACAAAAATTTACAGAAAAGTTGGATTTTCATTCATTCATTGTTGCACATTTTCCTCCCTGCCCCCTCAGTTCACTTAAAAATTCATTCATTGTTGCCTAATTTCCTGCCCCCACCCCAAGTCCGCTTTGCTTTGCACCTCTTATTCTGGGCTGTTTGTGTTACAGATAATACTTAAACATATGTTCCTTTTACACAATTCTTTTCTGCAGTGTTCATTATTTAGCCCCTCTTTTTCAACCCCTATGTCGTCCTGTTTAATAACAGTGGTGTTGTGCAGTATTTGTTCTTTTGTGACTGAGATATTTCACTCAGCATAATGTCCTCCAGAGTCACCCATGTTGTATGTTATTAGTTCCTTGTTTTTCAGTGCTTTGCAGTATTCTTCTGTATGAATATACCATAGTTTTTCTGTCCATTTATTTGTTGATGGACACTTGCTTCCATCTCTTTACTATTGTGAATAACACAGCAATAAACATGGATGTGCATACATCTGTTTGGGTGGCAGCTCTGGTTTCTTTAGGGCATATTTCTAGTACTGGAATTGCTGGGTCAAATGGTATTTCTATTTCCAACTTTTTGAGATAGCGCCATACTGCCTTCCATAGATTCCATCAATGCCTTCCGTTCCATTTTACATTCCCACCAGCAGTGAATAAGAGTCCCAATCTCTCCACAACTCCACCAGCATTTGTTGTTTGCTGCCCTGTTGAACTTTGCTATTGTTGCTGGGGTGAGATGGTATCTTATAGATGTTTTGATTTGCATCTCTCTCTCTAATAGCTAAGGATTTTGAACATTTCTTCATGTGTCTGTTTGCCATCTAAATGTCCTCTTGGGTGAAGTGAGACTCATTCTTTTTGTATGTCCATGAAAAAGTATATTTTCTTTACTTCCTTGTTGTTGCTGTTATATATCTTGGAATCAGAATCAATCCATCACTGACCCTCCAGGAGTTTTTTGAGGCAGTAAATTGCAGGAGAATATTGCCAGTCTCTCTCCTGCAGCCCAGCTGGTGGATTCAAAGTGCCTGTCTTTGTGATGGCAGTGAAATGCCTTACAACTAAGCCACCAGCCCTGTCATCCCCTTAGTAATACATATGTCAAAAGAAACACATTGAGAGTGTAGCAAGAGGAAAGTAGCAGGGATGGAGAAAACATTCATTCATCAGCTGCTGAGTGTGAGAGCCAAGCCTGTCTTAGATAAGTATGGGATAATAAGATGAATGACCCAGTGCTTGCCCTTGAAAAGCTAAGTCTATTAATGATCACTAGATTGTGAATAAGGAGCTCTGGTGGCATAGTCCACTGCGAGTTTCACTGCATCCCAAAGGCTGTTTGTCAAAGGGGATTTGAATCCATCAGAAGCCCAGTGGGAGGAAGGTGGATAATCTCCTCCTGTTAGGATTTACAGCCTTAGAAACCAGATAGAGGGTGGCTGTGTATAGGAATTGATTCAATGGCAGTGAGTGAGCTTATGAGTATTAATAAACCTGGTTGTTGTGCAAATGTGTTTTCAGATGCATTCACATTGGCGCTAAAGGCCACTTGGTCCTGGGCCATCTTCAGAGTCATGCTATGTCTGAGCCTATTGCGACAGCTGCTGTATCAGTTCATCTTGTTGAA